CCAGACAGGTTGAGTAGGGATGTGGCTGCATCCAGACCCCAGCCTCGACCCCCTTCCCCATGGGGACAAAAGAGCCCCTGGTCCTGGCACAGCCCTGCTGAAGGCACAGCCTCAGTGCCCCCCTCCTCTGGCAGCCAGGACGGAGCCAGCCCTGTCAGCGGGATCAATATTTCATGCACCCAAGCTGTGCATTTAATGCTTTTCCGCTCCAGCACCCCGGACCTCGGAACAGCGAGTTCAGCTCAGTGCTGTCACCATGTCACCACCTTCACTGTGTCACCCCCAGTGGGAAACATCACCTGCCCTGCCTGGGATTGGTCCCTCTCCCTCCCGTAGGCAGCCCTAGGATGGGGATGAGGAGGGGGATGGAGCATCCCTTCGGCTGCAGGTGTTTTGGGAGTGACCTTGCCGTCTCCTCTCCTATTTGGGGTGGGAGGAGCAGACGGGGAAGGGAAGGGAGCCTGCAGCGGGCACTCGCCTTTGTGCCTCCCCACAAGCTGCTCCTTATTATCCTCCATGAGCTGCACTAATCCCCTGGATACCCAAAAGTAACAAAGGGAGCTGGCAGCAGAGCCGGCTGGATGAGCCTGTGCTGCCAAAGCCCTCAGCACTGGGGCTGAGCCCTGCCCATCAAGTGCTGCAGGCACGTTCCTCTGCGCCCCTCAAACCACACACATTCGAGGTGGGTGCCCCCCACCCCCAGAAATGGGACACCCCACCACCTGGGTCTGCTGCACAGTGGGGAGCTGCAATTAGCACTGCCGGGTGCCTGGGCAACCCCTGGCCCCTGGCCACTGGCCCCCGGCCACCTCCCGGGCTTGTCGCCTGCCGCCGCGCAGATGTCGGGCACCGGCAGAGGCCGGCGCTGCCAGCACAGCCGGCCCGGCTGGCACTGCCTGACAGGGACCTGCTGGCACCAGCCTCGGCTCACAGGGATGTGGCAAGGAGTGAGGGGCAGGGCTACGGGATGCAGCTACCCCACGGGGGGTGCAAGCCACAGGGCAAAATCCTACAGGTATTCCAGCAGGGATGGCTGCAACAAGGGAAAACGCAATTAGCCTTCTTGGGGAAGCTCGGTGCCCGGAGCAGGGCTGGCAGCATCCCTACCTGGAGTGCTCAGACCGGTGCTCGGGTTCGGGCTGGCTCGGGGCACGTCCCATGTCCAGGTGCTGCTCCAGCACTTGTTGCCGGAATTCCGAGACTTGGGATTGCCGATCTTCCTTCTCCTGGCGCAGGCGGCGCTGCCGGGCCA